AATTTTGAAAATAACATTATATTTTATTCATCATTTCAGTGTAATAAGCAAACAAACTCATTTGAATATGGTTCCTATGTTATGTATTGGATAAGAGTCATAGTTTGTGCGGGTATAACTGATTCTTGGAGGGAGGTAATTGCTTTCAATATTAGTTAAGTTTATTTAACTTTATGCGTGTTGCATGTTTACAAGAGTCAAATTAATGTTTCAGGTATTTCAAGATCCATCTCCATTGCAAGAGTATGATATTACACAAATTAGATAATAATGGGCAAGGTTTTTCGTTCAACAATTCTAGTACTTAATTTTTTAGGTTATTCTTCATATTATATCGTGTGTATTATGTAGTTTAGGTAGCTTAGTTTGTACTAACTTTTAGTTTGTAATAAATTTTAGTTTGCAAGTTATTGTTTGTATTATATTGTTTTATTATGTAGTTTGAATTATATATAATATTATATTTTTTATTTACTAGCTAAAGAAACTTGAACATTTGTACTTGTCTGGTTATAATATATATTTGCAGGTTTTAGTTGTAAGACAAAATAAACCCAATTTTTTTACAAAAAGGAGAAAATTTATGTCGCATATTGGTATCCGCGACGTAAATTTATGTCGCGTATACCAATACGCGAGTAAATTTGTTCCTTTTTTTAATTTTCAAAACCTTTTACGTCTGTTTAGTAGTATATGTAACATAAATTAACGTCGGATCTCGATAACTGACGTGAACTTACGTCAAGCTAAGGGTTCAACGTAAATTCACGTCTCCCATTTTAACGTTAGTCTTAAATGCGACGTAAAAAGCTCAAAATACCTAACGTAAAAGCCCCTTTTTGCACTAGTGATGCTTGTTTCTCTCATGATTGACCGGGTTCTTTGCCAATTCAATGATCGACTTGTTAAAAGGTTTCTAAGCCAAACTGCATGGCAGATACTTCAAGATACTGCAATGTACTCGGCTTCGCAAGTGGACAACGTTACAATGGACTGTTTTTTTGAAAGCCAGGTGAACGTTGTGTTTCCCATGAACAATACATATTCAGACGTGTTTTTCTTATTATCAACATCTCCATACCAGTCACTATCCGAGTAGCCTACTAGTCGGTAATCATCAGTCCTAGTATACACTAGGTCAAGTGGCATCGTTCCTCTCACATACCTTAGAATTATCTTTAGTGCCTTCTAATGAGTATATCTTGGCTCCTCCATATACCAACTTGCTATTCCAACACTTAGCATCAAATCTGGTCTGGTATTTGTAAGATACCTAAGACTTCCAATCAGACTTCGGTATTTGCTCGCATCAACTCGGTCACCATCTGCATACTTAGAAAGTTTTGTACCAGGTTCCATAGGGGTGGAAACCAGGTTGCAACTTGTCATCTTAAACTTCTTCAAGACCTCCTCAGCATATCTTTCCTGCGACACAAAGATGTCATCCTTTCTTTGAACAACTTATAAACCAAGGAAATATTTCATAAGACCCAAGTCAGTAATCTCAAACTCCTTCTTCATCACTTCTTTAAACCCTTCAATCAGTTCGACATTATTCCTCATGAAGATAAGATCATCAACATATAAGCCAACAAACATCACATCTTCTCCTTTCTTCTTTATGTATAGAGTATGTTCACAAGGACATTGCTCATATCCATTCCTTTTGAAGTAAGTGTCAATTCTTTCATTCCATGTTCGTGGAGTTTGTTTCAAGCCATAAAGTGCCTTCTTCAATCTCAACACTTTCTTCTCTTCTCCTCTTCGCATGTATCCGAGTGGTTGTTCAACACCTACTTCCTCCTCCAAGACTCCATTCAGAAATGTCGACTTCATGTCCATCTACAAGATTGTCCATCTGTGTTGAGCTACTAAGGAAATCAACAGTCTAATTGTTTCCATTCTCGTCACTGGGGCGAATACTTCGTCATAGTCTATTCCTTCCTTCTACTTGTACCCCTTCACTACGAGTCGAACTTTATATCGCTCAACTTTTCCTTCAGCATTTGTCTTCTTCTTGTACACCCACTTTACGCCGATAGGCCGTGCTCTTTTGGGCAAATCAATCAGCTCCCACGTGTTGTTGCGTTCTATTGCCCCGATCTCCTCGTCCATTGCCTTTTGCCACCTTTTCTCCTGCACGACCTCTTCAAAACTTAAGTTTTCTTAATCTGCCAAGAAACATACAACATGCACTTCATCAGTGGAGTTGTGTATATCTTGTAAACTTTGTGCTCTGGGCTGTAGAGATTCATCTTCTTCATCAGAAATCTTATGATCTCTCACAGTATGCGGTATATCAACTTTCGAGCTTCTACTTCCTATAAACTCCTTCTCCGGTTTGTTCCAACTCCACTCGCTCTCTTCATCAATTTGAACATCTCGACTCATAATGACCTTCTTAGTTATTGGGTAGACAATCTATACACCTTGGTTTTTTCATCATACCCAATAAACACGTACATTTTGCTTTTATCTTCGAGTTTGGTCTTCTATTGAGCTGGAACATGACCATAAGCCATGTTGTCGAACACTTTAAGGTGAGACACGCTCGGCTTTCTTCCACTCCAGACTTCTTGTGGTGTCTTCTCGTTTAGCTTAGCATGTGGACATCTATTTTGCACATAAATGGCACATTGCACTGCTTTGCCCAGAACTCCTTTGACACATTCTTGCTTCTCAGCATTGTTCGAACCATGTCAAGAATGGTTCGATTCTTCCTCTCGGAAACTCCATTTTGTTAGGGTGAGTATGATGCTGTCAGAAATCTTCTTATTCCTTGCTCCTCGCAATACTTCATGAGCTCGGATGAAATGAACTTGTCTCCTCGATAAGACCTAACAGATTTTATAGGCATACTGGTCTTTTTCTCAACCATTACTTTAAATCTCTTAAACACCTCAAACACCTCGGATTTCTCCTTCAAAAAATATACATTTTTCCACTGAAAGACTCATGGTAATTGGTCCACAAATATCTGTGTGAATCAATCCGAGTTGTTCCTTTGCACGGTACTCGGCAATCCTCAGAAATGAGGTCCTCGGATGCTCTCCGAGCACACACCCTTCACAAAATTTCTTTTAAAATTCCATAGACAGGAGTCATCGCACCATCTCTTTCTTTACCAACTCGGTCAGCTCGCCAAAATGCAAGTGGCCAAACCGAAAGTGTCACATCATTGTTTCATCCTTCACGTCAAGTTTCAAGCACCTCTCTTGGACTATCTTCAAGTCTAGCTTGTACATTCTGTTCTTCTTCATTTCTACTCGGACAATCAAACGATCCGACTTGTCCTTCAAGTATAGTACTCGGTCTTTCATCAGAACTGAGTAGCCTTTCTCCATCAGCTGGCTCATACTCAATATGTTGCTTTTGAGATTAGGTACATAGTACACGTCTCTGATTTCTCCAACTCGGTTATTCTTCTGCAAATACCATATTGTACCTCGGCCTTTTACTGTCACCTTTGATGCATCTCCAAACGACACGTGTCCGGCCTCAACTTTAGTGAGCTCCTTAAAAAGGTTCTCATTTCTGCACATGTGGTTACTTACTCCTGTATTAAGGTACCAAACTGAGTTGTCAGAACAGCTTGGACTTAGCTCGACATCCGAACTTCTCGACATCATCAATATTCCTTCTTCCTTAGCGTCCTCAATGAGGAGGTTTGTTTCCTTCTTGCTCTCAGATCGGCAATCCTTCGCGAAATGTTCCACATTCCCACAGTTATAACATTTGATACCTGAATAGCAGTCCTTAGCAAAATGATCGTAATTCTCACATTTGAAGCACTCAGCTCCGGAATTGCTTGACTGACCACCTCGGCCTCTACCGCCACAACCTCTACCTTGTCCTCGACCATGCCAATTTTGTTGATTGACTTTCTCCTTACCTCTTTCATATCCTCCTCTGTCTCTACCACCTCGGTCTTGAGTGTTTTGAGTATAAGGAACCTTCTTCTCCTTTAAGGTTTCCTTTGCTTTGAGTGCTTGATCAAGGGACTCCTCTTTCTTCTTCCTTCTCCGCTGCTCATGTGCTTCAAGCGACCCGACAAACTCTTCCACTGAGAGCACCGATAAGTCCTTGGACTTCTCTATTGCACAAACGATATTCTCAAAGTTGTCAGTTCTTAAGATTTTCTCCACCACTCGGCAAATGGGTAGCGTATCTCCATTTCATCATAGTTGATTCATCACGGTCTCAACACGTCGGCAACCCCTTCGACTTCTTTCATCCTCATGCTTTCAAACTTGCCTCTAAGAGTTTGAAGTCTGACTTGCTTCACACTATTATCCCCTTTATATGTCTTCTCCAGAATATTTCACGCTTCTTTTGAAGATTTAGCATTTGTTATCTTCTCAAAATCGGACTCATCAACAGTTCGGTACAATACGTACAAAATCGTTTTGTCCTTTACCCGTGTTTCTCTCAACGCAGCAAACTGGACAATCCATCTGCTTTTCAATATTCTCTGGTTCTTGGCGCCTATTTTCGACTACATCTCATACTTCCTGGGAACCAAGGAGAGTCTTCATTTGCAGATTCTAGTTATTATAGCTTTCGCTTTTTGATAACTTTGGCAGGGACATGTTGTTAGCTAAGTTGATCATCTCGAACAAATTCTCTAACTGTCAAACACTCTCTTTAACGCACTCAAACACTTAAACTCTCAAGCTTTGATGTCAATTTATTGACAAACAAGTATCTAAATAAAGTACTTTATATTACCACTTGATGGGTTTTTGCAATGAGTAGTACATGATCAATTTATAGGCATTTGTACATGGTTTCTCAACTACATGCATTCAATACTATCACTATCTCTCAACTATATATATTCAATACAACTACTATCTCTCAACTACTACGTATAATCACTACCTCTCAACTACGTGCATTTAATGTTTACCTAACACAAACACAACAGAAACAGTCACTTACATTGCACAAAATGATGATATGGTATGGAGAAGAAAATGTACCTTAATTTATGTTTAATACTAGGAGTGGTTTGGATGAAATCTCGGTCCATGGACGTTGTAGCGAACAGATACACAGGCAATATGCTTGATAACCCCATAATGCCGTCCATCTTTAGCAGGATCAATGCTTTCTTCCAGTTCAGTTGGCATATCTACGAAGCCAAGAAATTGAAGGTTTTTCAAGTGTTCGAGGCCACAGGGTAACACCTTCATTTGGGGGTTATCTCTAAAGCTGAGGTGTTCAAGACCAAGCAAAGCTCCTTTGTCTATGGACATAGAACTTAATCTGCTTAGTCGAGTAAGATCAAGTTCCTTCAACTTTGGAAATCCGTCTTTTTTGAAATGCAAACTTTCACCTTCATACGCATTATCCCAGATGCTGAGTTGCAACAGATTTGGCAAGACTTTAAGTGAGTCTAATGGATCTTCTTTCAAGTTGGACAAACCGAGCCTTAACTTCACAAGATACGCAAGTTTTGGAATCCAGTCGGGTAACTTTGACACTCGAGCATTCAACTTCAACACTTGAAGTTTGGGGGGATCTGATTTGAAGTTCAAGTCAATGATTTCATCTTCAGCGACGGCACTGACATTGAGAGATTCGAGGTGGTTCATCTCTCCTATTGCAGCTGATAGGGCAGTCGCATATTCTCTTTTCACGCACCTGATTCCCAACTTCCTTAACTGTTTCAACATTTTGAGCTCTTCCACAAGATCTAATCCTCCATGATAAGCCTCCAAAAAGTAAAGCTTTTGTAATGATTTCAAGCGTCTGATACCCTTATGCATTTTTGCCCTTCAATTTTTCTGTAGTAGACTGAAAGAAGTCGCAGCTTCAGGAGTTGGGTTATCTCTCTTGGTAGTTCACGCACCTTAGTTTGCCTTAGGTCCAAGGTTTCTAGGTTCAGCAACTTCCCTATGGATTTGGGAAGGACCTCTACTTGTGTATGACTCAAGTTTAAGTACCTGAGGAGAAAAAGCTTGCCCAAATTATCAGGAACATGGTTCAACGAAGTACCTTGGAAATCAAGTACTTTCAAAAGCTTGAACTTGGTGGATAATTTAGGCACAAAATATGCAGGCAATTCACTTTTGCTGAAAACAAATATTGCACGAATGCCGAAGAGTCTAGTCCTGCTTAACACAATGTCGGAAAAATTAGCAACAGAAAAGCGTCTAGTTATTCCCACCGTTTCTAGTTCATCATCTTCATGCATTACGTGGCAAAAATTTAACTCTTTCATTCTTCTAATGATGACTTTTCGTAATAAATCATGCACTTGGCAGCTTTTAACCTTGCCATTACGGCCAACTTTAGAGACTTTAACCAAACTTCTGTGTGCTAAATCTCTCAAGCTCCTTTCAGCAACCTCCTCCACAGGTCTTTGCCCCTCATTCTGAATGAATCCTTCAGCTATCCATTGCCCGGTCAATCTCGTACATTTGATGGAGTAGTCCTCCGGATACATGCCAAAATACAGCATGCATGATTTCAAATTGGGAGGAAGATCATCATAACTAAGAGACAAAATCCTTGTTAAAGCATTTAAATATGGTGTGCGCTCAATCTCCATGGTCAGATCCTCGCATACCTGTCTCCATTCGATCATCTCCTTTGCTTTTGTCGTCAAAAGGCCACCAATGGCAACAATTGCTAGCGGCAGGCCACCACATTTTTGAACAATTTCTTTTGACATAAACTCGAGCTCAGGTGGACATTGTTGACTTGGCTCAAACCTAAATGCCTTCATGCAGAAGAGTTTGAATGCTTGTTCTGGAAGCAAATGTTGTAGTTCATGAACACGACCAAGAAATGATTTATTGAAACACTCAGCAACGTGCATAATTCTAGTGGTGATTACGATTCTACTGCCGTTGTTGTTATTAGGAAGGGCATGCTTAATCTCATCGGAAAAATCTTGTTTCCAGACATCATCAAACAATATTAAGTACATGTACTTCTTCGACTCAAGGAATTTCCTCACTTTTGTAACTAACGAGTTATCATCCTTCTTGTGCAATCCTTGGGGAAGAGGGTCATTGGCGTCCTCGCAAAACTTCTTTACCATGTTTATCAATAGCTCCTTCACAGTGTACGACTGAGAAACTGTGAGAAAACAAGTACATTTAAAGTGTTCTTGTACTTGTGGATTATCATACACGTGTTTGGCAAGAGTGGTTTTTCCGAGTCCTCCCATGCCTACCACCGAAAACACAGAAAGTTGTTGGGTTCCTTGAGTTAAGAAGCCAATCAATTCTTCTCTTGGGGATTCGAATCCCACAAGTCCAGTTTCTTCAATGAAATGGGAATCCATTCGTGGGTCACTCCAACAGGAGTTGTCAGATGCCTCTCTGCTATTGTTACTTGAAGATTGAAAATCATACCTTGTACTTCTATCCTTGATTTCTCGAACTATTGACTTGATATCTCGAATCTCAGATGCAATTCGATGACGTGACATCAAAGTTTTCGGTTTTAGAGCAATCGTTGGGAGTGAGTCAATGCAACGATACCGCGCCACATCCTTGATGTACTTATCAATGACATCTTCTATGCAGAAAGATACTTCTCTCACCTGCTTCACCCATGTTTTTATTCTATAGTTGGTGTCTCCTTCATATCCAGCTCTTCTATCTGCATTCTTTAGGAAGGCGTAGATGGTCTCCAATTCATGTTGGATATTCGAAAAATCACTTCTGAGGCCTTTCAACAGACATATTTCTTCTGTTCCAAGTAGGTACAGCTGTTGCAAGACAAACGACAGTGCAGCTTCTGCCATTTCATTTCATTTTCATCTCATTGTCTGTGTTATGTATCTTGCAATTCTAGCAAGCATTCTTTTCTGATGATTATTGGGTACTATGCATGTTTCTCTATTGTGCGCTGCTACTACTTTCAATTTGTCATTACTTTTAGCTGGAGTGTCCTGTATATCATTGATAATATTCTTAAATAAAAAATATTTTCCCTTTTACTGTATGTTTTTAGGAAAATCATACCTTCCTTGTGTATTATAATTTACATGTCGACATATTTCTCCACGTTCAAGATACAGGTGAGTTTGGCATGTGTAAGAAGATAAGTATAATGCAACTTCTATCTTCTATTGTATGTAAGAAGATAACTTTTATGTCTTCTTTAAAACATTTAAAACAGAACACTACGAGCTCAGTTTTCTCTTTCTCTATTTTTCTTTTTCAATTTTACATATCAAATTTTTATCTATTTGTTTTCACCCGACTCGTTAAGAAAAATACACAACACAAAGAAAGGTATCTGGTCGGTTCCTTGATGGGCGAGGGAACAATATTCGTGATATCGAAGCGTGGAATACTTGAAAGTTAGAGCAAGATTCTTGTAATCATTGCCATGCAGATGGGTTGGTAGGCATTCAAACAAAATTAAAGTGAGTCTAAAGGAAAAGTTGGTTAAGCAGTATCAGTAGCAGCGCATCGCGTTCAAAATAAAACAAAAGTGGTGTGTGCTAGAATTGCAGATCGAAATTGCAAGGTATGTAAGGTAACATAACGAGAGGAGATGAAGTGAAATGAAATGGCAGAAACTGCAGTAACGTTAGTTTTGCAGCAGCTGTACCGACTTTTTGACGGAGAAAGAAGATTGTTGAAAGGCATTGGAAATGATTTATCATACATCAAACAGGAATTAGAGAGAATCAAAGTCTTCATAAAGGATGCAGATAGAAAAACTGTAGATGAAGGAGACACCAACGAAGGAATTAAAACATGGGTGAAGCAGGTGAGAGAAGTATGTTTTTGTATAGAAGATGTTATCGATGAATACATAATGGGTGTGGCACGGTACGGGGCCAGCCATCAACCACCAGGCATGATATCAGTCCACAAGATTCTTCACCAAATCAAAGCCTTGAAGACGCGTTGTCGGATAGCATCCAAGATTCAAGTTATCAAGTCAGAAGTTCGAGGAATCACGGCAAGAAGTCACAGGTACGCGTTTCATTCTCTACCTGAAGTTGGGTCATCGAGCTCCTCTAGAGGGGCAACAGATGTCACACTGGTTCATAGGACTTCTTCCAATTTTGTGGAAGAATCTGACATCGTGGGATTCGAATCCCAAAGGAATGAATTGATTGATTGCTTACTAAAAGGAAACCACGAACTCATGGTCATTTCAGTGGTAGGCATGGGAGGAATGGGAAAAACCACTCTTGCTAAAAATGTTTTTCATAATCAACAAGTGAAAATACACTTTGATTGTCGTTCTTTTATCGTAGTTTCGCAATCATACACTGTGAGGGAGGTGTTGATAGATATGATACAAAACTTTTGCAAGGACGGCAGTGAGCCTATTCCCAAAGGCCTGCATAAGATGGATGGTAACACATTAGTAACAGAAGTGAGGCAATACCTTGACACAAAGAGGTATTTGGTATTGTTGGATGATGTCTGGAATGCAAACTTATCCAAAGAGATTGAGCATGCCTTGCCTAATAACAACCAAGGAAGTAGAATCATAGTCACCACTAGAATGATGAGTGTTGCCCAACAGTTTAAGCAATCATTTCTTGTTCATATTCTCATGCTACAGCCATTACCTGAGAACAGGGCATTGGAACTGTTTTGGAAGAAGGCATTTAGATTGGGGACTACTGAGAAATTTCCAACTGAGCTTGTGGATGTGTCAAATAAAATTGTTAAAAATTGTGGAGGACTACCACTAGCAATTGTTGCTGTTGCTGGTCTTCTCTCAACAAAAGAAAAGGCCGTGTTTGAATGGACAAAGGTAAGTCAAGATCTGAGAATGGAGTTAGAGCTCAATGAACGTTTTACTAATTTAGTAGGGATTTTGTCTCTTAGTTATGATGATCTTCCTCCCAATTTGAAATCATGCTTGCTGTATTTTACTATGTATCCGGAGGACTACTCCATCCAATCTAAGAGACTGACTAGACAATGGATTGCTGAAGGATTTATTGAAAATGACAAGAGAGGACCAATGGAGGATGTTGCTGAAGAGTACCTGAAAGAATTAATAAATAGAAGTTTAGTTCAGGTCTCCAGGGTTGGCTTTGGCGGTAAACTTAAAACTTGTCATGTCCATGGTATATTACGTGAGTTTCTCATTAAAAAAGCAAGAGATTTAAGTTTTTGCCACATAATGCTTGAAGACGATGAACTAGACTTAGTTGGAATAACTAGACGCTTATCTATAGCTACTTGTTCCGACACTGTGTTCAGGACTAGTAACTCTGGCATCCGCGCTATTTTTTTTCTTAACGAAAGGGAAAACCCTAAAGATTATGTGGATAGATTATTTGCCAAGTTTAAGTTTTTGAGAGTACTTGATTTTCAAGATACTTTGTTGAATTATGTTCCTGCTAATGTGGGTACTCTTTTTCACCTGAGGTACTTAAACTTGAGTCATACAAAAGTAAAGGTCCTTCCTAGATCCATAGGTAAGTTGGTGAACTTAGAAACCTTGGATCTAAGACAAACTAAGGTGCGTGCGCTACCAAGAGATATAAACAACCTCACAAAGCTACAACTTCTTCCAGTCTACTATAGAAAATATGAAGCGATGTCCTCTGTGTTAGAGTCCACAACCGGGGCGAAAATGCATAAAGGTATTGGACGCTTGAAATCCTTACAAAAGCTCTACTTTTTGGAGGCTGATCATGGAGGATTGGATCTTGTGGAAGAGCTCAAAACGTTGAAACAGTTAAAGAAGTTGGGAATCAGGTGCGTGAGAAGAGAATATGCAACTGCCCTGTCGACTGCTATAGGAGAGATGAACCACCTTGAATCTCTCAGTGTTAACGCCATCGCTGAAGATGAAATCATTGACTTGAACTTTGAATCAGCTCCACCCCAACTTCAAGTGTTGAACTTGAATGCTCGAGTGACAAAGTTGCCTGACTGGATTCCAAAACTTGTATATCTTGTTAAGTTAAGGCTTGGTTCGTCCTACTTGAAAGAAGATCCACTAGACTCACTTAAAGGCTTGCCAAATCTGATGCGGCTCAGTATCTGGGATAATGCGTATGCAGGTGAAAGTTTGCATTTTCGAAAAGAGGGATTTCCAAAGTTGAAGGAACTTGATCTTACTCGACTAAGAAGATTAAGATCTATGTCCATAGACAAAGGAGCTTTGCTTGGTCTTGAACACCTCAACTTTAGAGATAACCCTCAAATGAAGGAGTTACCCCGTGGCCTCGAACACTTGAAAAACCTTCAATTTTTTGGCTTTGTAGATATGCCATTTGACCTGGAAGAAGCATTGATCCTGCTAAAGATGGAAGGCATTATGGGGTTATCAAGCATATTTCCTCATGTCCTCATTCGTCAGAACGTGGGACCATGATTCCATGACTATGTGCTGCGTCCTAATCCCACATTAGCCGGTGTCTGAAATGTACAGGTATTTCTTCCTCATGTCATGTCATATATTAGTGTTGTTCTTATAAATTTCGAAATTATAATAATGCCATTCTCATCATAGATGTTTTTTTTTTTCTATATTTTTGGATCATTCATTTCATTCATTAACCTTCCCTTAACATGTATTCTGTCATATTGCAAACAAAACCCGTGCTTTATGCATCCATGACAAGCTGCTTCAAAAATCAAGAATATATTTCTAATTTGTTTATAGGAAAATTGTAATGTTTTAAGCTGACTCTTTTTGGGTTAAACTTTTCAAATTGATTCTGTACATTCTAAAGATATTTTTTGAGTTTTTTATTTGATTGCATATTCATGCAACTGATGCAAGTATTGCCCTCTAGTACAAAATACATCTAACAATGGCACTTCATCGGTAGTTTTCCTTAATTTTAAGTTAATTTTGTTATAGCTTCCTATCAAATCTATTGTGTTTCTGCTGAATTCTAATATTTATTTTCATCATCCCGCAATAGTCTTAATGTCTATTACTTGATATAAAAACTCTACAAGTTTTTGTGTAGAGTTAAAATCAATTTGCTCAACATATATACTGTTCAAGCTTACTAATTTTCGTGTGTTTGTGGACAGAGATTCAAATTTTCGAAATCGCAGGTCGCAAAAATGATGCACTTTGTCTGTTCGTTCCTTTCATGAAGCTTGTATGTATGAATAAATAATTCATATTTCCTTGAACTTACATATCCTGCTGCAGTCAAGGAATGTATGAACTCCATTTAGGGATTTGAGAATGAGTTATGCAGAATTGTACTTGTGGTGTTTATGATTGATTGTGTGACAGAGTTCCTGAAAACCTAGTCTTTGATTTTGGTTTTCGTTTTCATGGTGTTTGCTCCTGAGTTTGAGTGTGTACAAGTGATTATGCAGAGGCAGATATAAAGTTGTATAATTAACTGCATCATCCTCCCTTCTATCTTTTTATATTCTTTTAATAAATCAACTTTTCATTTCATTCATCAATATTTTCAACACATCTTACACTTTTTTAATTACCAATATCTCCTTCCTATTATTTTATTAACAGTAGAATTAATCATATAAATAATATATTTTTTATAATATTATTTAAATATAATCTCAATCAATTTATTTAATCGGTTAGATTTTTTTTATGGTTGATAGATAGTTTTTTTCTTACCATTTTTTTTTTTCACTTTCTTTATTTCTTTTTTTTTTTCATCTCATGTTCTTTTCAACTCTCCTCTTCCGGATATTCTTCTCCAATTAAAATATATTTCAATTATAATTAGATTAAATTATGATAGTTAGTTACATTAAATAATTTAAAAAATATATTAAAAAATACTTTTATAATAAATATTAATTTTCTTTCTTAATA